GGTTACAAGTTGTCAAGTTTTTATAAATACAGACGAGAATTGAACCAGTTTTGGTCTGACGCTCCATTTACCTATCCAACTTTCACACTATTATAGTTTGCAAAGGATTCAAGATCCTTCTAATGATGTTTAGAGATTTGAAAGGATCGAATATTAAGAAGACCTATTTACGTATTGTATGATTTTTAGAGACTTGAATGGAACAGATATTAAGAAGAATTACAATTTTTGTTATAATTATTGGAGTAAAGATGATATTGGTATTATAAATAAAAGTAAAATGTATTCAATATGTTGTTGGTATGATGCAAGTAGGTCAAACTGATCAGTTCAAACTAACTGGTATTAATCAGGAACACCTGTACACACATATATATATATACCTGTCAGGTAAACAATAGATATACCTGTACATACCTATATATATACCTGACAGATAAACAACAGGTACAACAACATAATAAACAAATCACCTGCCATAAAATACTATAAACTTTAAAATCTCTACTGTCATTAGGTATAAAATATGGGGTTTAATGTCTTACTTTTCGGCCCTAAAGTTCCTGTTTTTGTTACAAAATTGAACACTGTGGATATTTGTCGCAAACTGTTAAGTTAAAAAGTACAATATTCCAGTCAAGACCTCTAGATAATAGACAACAAACATTATGTTTACAATCCAAAAAGGATTATAATCAATAAATCTTATTTGGTTTCGTGCTGCCATGCAGGACCTCAGTTTTTGATTCCAAGATTCTAAGATTACGTCTTCAAGTCTTCAATGTGGGGAGTAATTTTTTTCCACTTTGTCAAAGTAATCAAAAGACATTATCTAGGTACAATATGAATTTTCACACAGTTCGAACAATTAGACCCAATTAATTGTCCGGTGAACCATATGGGTATTATCCATGACAAGTAGATTTAACAACCTTATTTGTTGTCTTTCCATGCCAGGAACTTAATACAGATGAGATAGTAGTTTTTGTCAAGTTAAGAATTCCTTACCACACAAACTCGACAGTTCTGAGCTGTGCTTGTCGCGTCTCCTAACTACCACGACCCTGTACAGTGAAATCACGTCATTAAGACATGTTGTGGGATGGATAGAAATTTGTCTTAATATTAGAGCAGTCTTGGGTTTCCAGGATGCCGATATAATATATCAGAAGACAGTATATTTAGTTGCTGTCCATTCCCCTAACCACCACAAGCTTAGTTTTCGTCCAGTCACCTAACCACTTAACCACAATAATCCTAAACAAATTTATTTACAATGCATTTACACAGAAGAAAGTTCCAAACACATCCCTGTAGACCTACCTTGTTGCCAGTAATGTCTTAATTATTAATCCGAAAAAAAATACACACGACAAAGTATGAGCTAACCACCATAATCCAAAAATTTATGTAAAATGCAATATCACAGACAAAAGTTCCAAAGTAATCCATCTAGACCTACCTTAATTGTTGCCAGTAATGTCTTAATTAATAATCCGAAAAACCACACCACGAAATATTGTGAGTTATTTTTATTATCGCTCCTCCATGTGTTAGCTACAAGAGTGTTAGTTACAAGGCTACACTGACTAGATGATGTATATATAAATACCTGTACTCTAGATTTATAAATAAAATATTTTGGCTATGGGTTGGAGGTGGTAATGAGTCAGAACGGTGATGATAACACTCAGATTGGATTCCACCTACAGATAAACACTGTTCACCATATAAACTACTGTATTAAAGCGAGAGAGAGAGAGAGAGAGAGAGAGAGAGAGTTGAATGTCCATGTGATACAAACTATGTTATTTTGGGACCAACATATTGTTCAATTTTATTTCAATAATTCGCTTGCTCGTAGGGGTCTTAAGCAGTGGGTATTGATGTTATCTTGCCATGAAAATATGGGATAATATCCTCTATTTACGAAATGAAATGGGGTTTAACGTCCTACTGTTCTGCTCCGAACTGGGCTAATGAAGACGGACCCCTCTATTTAAGACCTATATATATATGAGTACACGTATTCTATTGATATGAATGCCATTTGTAATGAACAAAGAAAAAGATATCCTACAAGACAAGGCAGAATTCATTAGTTACGGTCGATACATAAAGATAAAATAACAATAAAAAATGTGTATAATGGACTAAGCATTCAATTTGGATTGTTTACATATTTCAACGAACAAAAGTGAATAGAAGCTATAATAATCTTTTGAAAATTGAAAATAAATCATGTTATATACATTTTTGTCTAGTTCGGGATTCCAGAGAATGGAGTTATATGCCCTTTAAAACACAAGTCAATGCCAAGGAATGTTTTTTCTTATTCACATGGGGGGAAGGGTGGGTGGCCGAATGGTTTTAATGTGTGCGGTCGCTTGGATCCTAAATTCTGTCATTGAATTGACTTTAACTTTGATTTGATTTTAAAGGCCCCCACCCAGATTCACATTTAGTAAAACATGATAAATGTGCACACCAACCATGCTATTGAAAATAGACATGTTATATGTAATGCGGTGTAATTTTATCTGGACAGCTACACTACAGCATACTCTTATATCTATTTCCAACTGGTCAATTTTCAGCCACCTATTCTGGCGAGTCTAGGGTTTGGATGAAAATGTTGGTGGTTGGTGATGTTAGTGGGGGTCTTCCTGTGCCCCAATGTGAAGACTATAAAGTCGCATCTATTCTCTGGGAGTAATGGTCAGCAAAATTGTAACATATGGCGAATAAAATAGAAAATATACACCTTCGAAGATAAGCCCTATTTTCTATGATGTGGGGGGAAGGTAATAATATCGAAATGGTTTTATGCACAGCTCGACACCCTCTATTGGTATAAGAAATAAAATCTCTGTCACCTCTTTTCATTCAATGCGAAATTATTAGTCAAAGTTGGTGAATTTTCCCTATTGTAAATCTCTGATTCTCTATGAAATGGCCAACTACTTTCATTCAGGGTAAGCCAGCTTTCTCTGTTTCTTCACCAAATCATTCGCCCATGCTCACTGGCAGCAGCAGTAAACCTCGAGCAAAACTGGTCTCTTTGAAGAGAATTGATATCCAATTCAAGATGGCCACGCCCGAGACCGCAGAAAATTGAGTTTTCCCTTCATTTTTGGCCATAGAATGTGGTAAATATCCCGGATATGAGCTAGAAAATCACATCATACAATTGAAAGAGTGTACTAAGGATATTAAGGCCCACTTATTGCATAGCAATAAGTGTTGAGAGAACCGAATGAGAGCTGATTTCTTGATCAAGTGAAAATTTTGATCTTAATTCGTCAATTCTAGATGGAAAGGTGATATGTTCTGCCTATCGCTACCGCCTGGGTCTCAAATGGAATATTCCAAAAGGATGTAAACATCCACTGCATGATACCACACCTAAGATGAATCCATAACAAGACCGTGGTGTGTCACATGGAATCAGCTTATTCCTATTGGATCAGGTAAGCGAAATCAAATACAATTCAAAAATAAAGAGGGAAAAAAAGAAGGAAGAAATTGTGTCGTTGAAATATTGATGAAAATCTTGTATGTGTGCTCGACCCCAATCAATTTAGCAGAAAAGAGTTGTGCGGTATACTCAAGTTGACTGAGTTAAGCGATGGACTTCAGATGTCCTCAAACCAGCTGTATTGAGTCTGATATAGCTGTAATACCTTTACTGAAGGCCAGCACTATCGGTTTTTTTTAACTTTGACAGCATTAAAGAATTCTTGTTAATTTTAGAATTTTATTTTTCTGTTTTAGGTATATGCTGCCCATAATAAGGAAATGGACCGTAAAAAGAGTCAGGTTAGTTCTTCAAATAAATAAATACTAGTGAGTACTAGTTTAACAGTTTAAAATCAACTCAATCTAGGTAAAACTGTCATAAAGGGTAAAACTGTCATCTGCTTAATTTATTAAATGTACCTTATTGTGTGATGTACAAATACCAATGTAGCATTGTAATGTTCAGTGTGTCCTGTTACATAAGCAATGTTCAGTGTGTCATGTTCAATATTCAATGTGTTATGTGGAATGTTCAAAATGTGAAATGTACAATGCGTAAAGTTCAATGTATATGTGTAATGTCCAATCTGTAAAATCCAATACATTATGTGTAATGTTCAAAATGTTTAATGTTCAAAATGTTTAATGTTCAAAATGTGTAATGTTCAATGTTTAATGTACAATGCTTAAAGCTCAATCTCTCATGTGTAATGTTCAACATCCCATGTTCAAATCTCAATGAATGTGTCATGTGTTGAGCTCAATAAATATGTCATGTGCAAAACTCAATGAATGTGTCATGTGTAAAGTTTAATGAATGTTTCATGCGAAAAGCTCAATGAATGTGTCACATGTAAAGCTCAATGAATGTGTCATGTGTAAAGCTTGATGAATGTGTCATATGAAAAGCTCGATGAATGTGTCACGTGTAAAGCGCAATGAATGTATCATGTGTAAAGCTCAATGAGTGTTATGTGTAAAGCTCAATGAATGTGTAAAGTTCCATGGATGTGTCATGTGTAAAGTTCCATGGATGTGTCATGTGTAAAGCTCAATGAATGTGCCATGCATAAAGCTCAATGAATGTGCCATGTGTAAAGCTCAATGAATGTGCTGTGTGTAAAGCTCAATGAATGTGTCACGTGTAAAGCTCAATGAATGTGTCATATGAAAAGCTCAATGAATGTGTCATGTGTAAAGCTCAATGAATGTGTCATGTGTAAAGCTCAGTGAATGTGTCACATGAAAAGCTCAATGAATGTGCCATGCATAAAGCTCAATGAATGTGCCATGCATAAAGCTCAATGAATGTGCCATGTGTAAAGCTCAATGAATGTGTCATGTGTAACGCTCAATGAATATGTAACGAGTAAAGCTCAATGAATGTGTAAAGCTCAAAATGTTTTTTGTGGTATATGTAAACTTCAACAATAGAAAGAATAGTTAAATTGTTCTTACCACTACATACAGTTTTCTTTGGTCTCCGTTTAAATATGGGTCGTGATGTTCCATCCTCAAACTCTGGTGCCGTATGATAACTACTGATATCTGTATTATAATCACTGTCATACGATGTTAAAGACTGGTAATCTAAAACAAAATAACACGAAATGAGGTTTAACATCCATGCAGAGGGCTAAGAGGGAAATTTTGCCCGGACAGTGGTGCTACTGCCATGGGTTCTTTTTGTGCATGACCATGTGTACACAGGGCATCAGTTTTTTCGTCCCATCCGAACGACTTTATGTTGTCCCTTGCCAAGCTCACAATTAATTTCCGAGGTCAAAACTGGCATTGAACACCAAGTTGTAACGGGTAAAACTATAGAATATTTGTACCTACCGTCTGATTTAATTGTACGATCTGATTCGGAGCCACTCTGTTGATCAACATCATCAAGTTTACTACTGCTAGCGCTACTCTCAGACTTTTTACGTGGAGTTGAAGGTGGGGGAGGACTAGTTTGTTTCTTGATTCGACGTTCGGCCATAATATCTGTCTCTTTTATACCTAAAATCAACAACAATTATCAGACTGATAAAGCATGTTTCTCTCATATGAGAGAGAGAGAGAGAGAAAGAGAGAGACAGAGAGAGAGATGGGGTTTAACCTACATTTGACACAAACTATGACATTTTGGGACTAACATATGGTTCAATTTTATTTCAATAATTCATTTGCGCGTAGAGTTTTTTAGCAGTTGGAGGAGACTGTATCTCCACGAGGAATCAAATCCACACCACTTGGCTCAATGACAGACCGTATGATGCATTAAGCACTCGACCACCCAACCCCCTCTGAGAGAAAGAGAGAAATGAGGTTGAACATCTTCTCAAAATAAACTGGGTTAGTCAATGGTACTAACATACGACACAATTTTATTTCAAAAGCTCGCTTGCATGTAGGGTTCTTTAGCAGTGGGAGGAAACCAAGGCAGTCTGAAGTTAAATTGTGTTTCATTATTTAGGACTGAAACAAAACTATTATTTCTTCTTCTCAATTTCATATCATCATTGTCTATTTGTCAATTTCATCAATTTGAATATCTTGTATCTAATTCAAGCAAAGAGATGAAGAGTTTTAGTTTGTTATATGTAGTTATTTCCCTTTGATCAGAGATACGTCTCAGATTAACTAAGACTAAGAAATCATAAATTCAGAGAGAAAGAAATGAGGTTTAACGTCCACTCAAAACAATCTAGGTCATTTCGGAATTTCAATAAGTCACTCATGTGTAGGGGTCTTTAGCTTTGGGAGGAAACTGGAGGACCCAGAGAAAACCCACAAGGTTGGACAGGCGACTCTACTCCTTGTCACGTACAAGTGGGGAACTGAAACCATGCCACAGACCTTATGATCCACGTGGACGCATTAACCATTCAGCCACCCAACACCCCCTTTGAAGTTAGGAAAACTGCCCATGATGCTCAAGTTGCCACTCAACAGGACCTCTGAAGATCTCAAAATTAAAATTCTTTGGCAATTTTCGATTTATTCACTCAAGGATCATAAACATTAATGTTTCTTGTTATGCTCACTGTATCTACTCACCCAAATTAACTAAAGCTTCTCTGATATCCCGAACCCAAGCTTGTTTAGCATAAACGCTTCGTGTTTGGAATGTTAATTTCTCCGAAGTTGGCTCCGCATACCAAATTTCAAATCGCCGCTCGTCCTCCTCCACTGATTCATAAATCTGGATATCTTGAAGCTTTAAAAAAAAAACAAGATATAGATCTCAAACAGTTTCTGATAAATGAAATAAAATGAAATGTGGTTTAACATCCTAGTGTTCTACTCTGACTGGACTAAGGAAGACAGGCATACACCATACAGTGTGTTACAAGGGATATTTTACCTGGTCTACTTTAATTTCAAATTCCAACTACCGAGGTTCTTTTACGTGCACGCCAATGTGTTCACGGGACCTCAGTTTTTCGACACATGTAAACTATAAACAGCTGTCCCTTACCAGGCCCTCTGTCCTGCATGACTAACAACGGGGAACCACACTGGAAAATCCTGATGAAATTCTCGACCAACTCAAGGATCCAACACAGGACCTCCAAGTTAGAGAGTCAATGTCTTACTCACTGAGCCACCATGGCTCCAGTTTCTGATAACTGTTCCAGAATAATAATTATGCAACAAAAACAAAATAAAATTTAAGCCAACTGAGAAGTTTCTACTTAGCAATTAGCATAAAGGGCTGATGTGTGTACAAAGTTTCATAAAGATATCTTGAAGGGTTTATGAGATGTGTTTCAAATTTCTAATTAGAAAACAACTACTATAATATGTTGATTTGTGTAATTATGTTCATGAAGATATCTTGAAATGGGACAGATGGATGGAACCCATTTCATTTTCTCACACGTGTCTTGATTCTCCCCTCGTTATATTGAACAAACAAACTTTGGAAGCATATTGGTGCCATTTTAGCCTCAATCCACTCTCTAATCCTTTACATGTATATGCACCTAAATGACCAGGAATATTGTCCCAGAGTTTCTGATTTTATAAAATTCTTGAGTAATCCTCACCCCAAACATGACGTTGTCTCCACCCAGACCATCCTCTGCTCAAATTCATGGACATGCCCATCTATGTCCCCGCTTAACTTGGTTTGGGGTGAGAATATCATGCTGATGTTTAACTGCAGTGTTTAACTGACATGTCTGTTGATCATTCACTAGATGATACCGTGACATATCTGTTGATCATTCACTAGATGATACTGTGACATGTCTGTTGATCATTCACTAGATGATACCATGACATGAAATAAAGTGGGGTTTACTGTCCTCTCCTGTTCTGCTCCAACTAGGCTAATGAAGATGGACAAACATCCTACATTGTGATATCACTACTCTTATTTCCCATACACAGGATCTCTTTTTTTTTACCATATGAACGACTAGACATGGTCCTCGCAAGGCCCTTCATTCTTATCCACTAAAATGGGGAATCATGCCAGAATATCTTGAGGAAGTTTCTCACTCAACCTCGGGAGCCGACCCAAGACCTCACAGCTAATAATCACACGAACAATCATGGGTATAAGATTTTAACATTTCTTGTAAGTAATTATAAATAGTTAGAAATGAAATCCATTTTTCTGAATAGACATTTATTACATAAGCAAATTAACAAAAATCACAAATAATCATAATATCAACAGACCAGCAAATGTATACAATTACACAGGTAAACTTGACCGACCGATGAACTGACGATAAATATATATAATTATACAGGTAACATTGATACCTACAGGTCGTAACATGACCGATCGACAGTAAATATATATAATTATACAGGTAACATTGATACATACAGGTCGTAACATGACCAACCGACAGTAAATATATACAATTATACAGGTAAACTAAATACATACAGGTAGAAATATGATGGATGAACAGGCATAAATTTGTCAGGCTAGTGTCCAGATATCTGGTTTATCCTCATGCAAGTACAAATAGCTTTAAGAGAGAGATAAAAATGGAGTTTAACGTCCACTTGACACAAATTAGGCCATTTCGGGAATAACATATGGTTCAATTTTATTTCAATAATTCGCTTGCGCGTAGCTAGGGGTCTTTGGCAGTGGGATGAAACCAGAGGACCCAGAGAGAACCTATGAGGTTGGACAGACAAATAGCTATAAAGGTAATGCTAGCTGTAACGCAAAGGTACAAGTATTATTGTTGATATAAACAAGGTATTAGTGTACCGTGTTATAATTCTAACAATCTCCATGTCTCGAGATAAAATACTATATGTTTACAATAGATAAATACATAAATAAATAAAAATTATGATCAGTTAAAAAAATCAATCACTTAGATATACATTAAATAATAATCTTTCTCTTGTGTCTTACCGATGTATGTATATTACAACCCTAGAATCAACTGAATTAACTGAAATTGTCTCGTCGCTTTAAAGTTTGGTTTTAAATATTGATGTAATCACTACTTTGTCATTATAAACAGAGCACTGGATGAGATGGGGCCTACTTCAAACAAGTTATCCTATCTCGAAAGTTCAAAATAATAGGACTGTCTACTTGAAGGGAAAGATTTATTGCTTCTTTAGAAAAGTTGACTATTTCTCTGTGTTTATTTTTCAATAGATTAGGTTAAACTAAATTGGTAGGTTTAGGTTGTTTATAACCTCTGAAAATTTATATATTCTAATATTTGGGACTGTTGTTTGTTTGCGTTCAGGATTGGTGGCTTCACTAGGGCTGTCATGTGGCTGGAATTTGGTGTATAGGGGTAGCTCGCACTGGGGAGGAGCATAGGCCTGGTAGTGATTGACTACCAGTACCACTTTCGTTGTCAGAATTATGGCAGCATGACCCCGTGCAAAGCCAGGTATCCTAAGGATGAAATTTGGTGTAGAGGGGTAGCTCGGACCAGGGAGTAACATAGGTCCGGTGGCGATGGACTACCACTTTGGGTGTTAGAATTATGGCAGCAGGACCCTGTGCAAGGCTGGGTATCCATCTAGTATATCAATAGAAACGATTGTTTTAATTTCAATTGTTTAACTGTGAAATAAATAATGTTCAATATAATTAGATGAATAAATTTGAATTTAAAATAATCTACAGTACTATAAATGTAAAAGTATGATGCACAATTTCTACAACATACATGTACTATATAAATAACATGTTCATCTCTGTTTGGGAGTAAATCAAAATTTTGTCTGATTACTGTCCATGTCAAGTTTCATCCCCAATAATTTTGACTAGAGTCTGATGGAGGCCCAATCATTTTAATTAGAGTCTGTTTTTACTGATAAATTTCCAATCAATTTAACTAGAGTGTTTTTACTGATGAATACCCCATCATTTTAACTAGAGTCTGTTTTTACTGATGAATCCCCAATCATTTTAACTAGAGTCTGTTTTTACTGATAAATTTCCAATCAATTTAACTAGAGTCTGTTTTTACTGATGGATCTCCAATCATTTTAACTAGAGTCTGTTTTTACTGATGCATCCCCAATAACTAGAGTCTGTTTTTACTGATGGATCTCCAATCATTTTAACTAGGGTCTGTTTTTACTGGTGGATCCCCAATAACTAGAGTCTGTTACTGATGGAGCTCCAATCACTTTAATTTTAGCTTGTGTTGTAAAGGAGTCAAGGCATTCTCTGTGTTTATTATCTTAATGGTCGTCTGCACCGAGAATCTGTTCTTCTTGTCCACGAATCCTTTCATCGAGTCTTTGAATCGGTACCAGTTGATGAAAGAATGATATCCGTATCCTATGCCTCCAGGTTTAAAAATAAACTCAAACTCCTGAGTCACAGACTTATTGGAGATTTTATTCAATAGTTTCAAACTAAATCTTACTTTACACGATTTCACAGGCTTCAATTTAACTGATTTAACGGCCAAAAAGATTCCTAACGACATTTTATCGGGGAAGTGTTTCACGCCCACACAGAACGGTAGACCCTGAATCATATAATCATCGCTCCAGACGGCGTCATCTCGCGAAACTTCATTTAACTTGAAACTTGTCGTAAACACAGATCCATTCACATCTGATTCATTATCCCGCTTAAAAATCTTTTTCTTAATTTCTTCGCTCATATTTTCCAAATCGTAAATTCGGTGATTTCTATGACGAATCAAAACACATTTCGCACAAACGGGCATCTGGCAATCACAACAATATAATTTCAAATCCATCCGTCTGTGTTTTGAACAAAACATTTTATCCTTTGCTTCCTCCTCTATGTAATGATTTCTGGTAAACTGACTAGCACCACCAACAGGAACTTGGGTAACCCGACGACAAACTGGACATTTGAATTTGTTGTACGGAAAGTTAGCTTTGATGTGTTTGTGCAAACAAACTTCACAGAATGAATGCAGACATGGCAGCACCTTGGGGTCCACGAAGTCATCCAGACAGATACAGCAAGCGTGCTGATCAACACTGCTGATGGTGTCCACCATTTTAGTGTTTTATCATTCTGTTTGAAACCACTTCTAAATTACAGGTACATGGAGGGGGAAAGGCAACACTAGCTTATGGCTGGCCTCCGGATCCATTCACTTAAGATAGGATATTTCTTGCAATGTCGATGTAGCTTGTCTTGTCCCCAAATTTATCTTGTTGGTTTTGTTTTGTTGGTTTTGTCTTGTTGGTTTTGTCTTGTTCGTTTTGTTTTGCAGGTGGTGCGATTCTGCTACCCTTACTATTAAAAGAGTAGCAGAGGCTTAACAGGTCCGTAGATAATCCTGAGATCTTCTAATTTCAAATGACACTGATGCAGCAGATATAACACAACTACCAACATCTGATGTCACAGATTTACACAAGATGTTCACATACCAATGTAGCTAACAATTAATCAAACAACAAGCAGTCTAATTTATACCAATCTAATAATGTTTTTCCTTGTGTTTTATCAGAAGGTGTACAACTAAACACATCTATATATCTGAAATTTTTATTTAGAAATTCCTGGTTATATCTCCTCTTGAAGGTGTACAATCACAACACACAACTGTTAGAAATTCCCGGTTTTCTCTTCCTTTAACAGTGTAAAATTGAACACATCTCTTATCTGAAGTTGTTAGACATTCACAGTTATATCTTCTC